GAGTTGTCTGATCTCCACATGTGTGCTTTGCACATCATGCATGTGCACACATAATAAAAAGCACACCCCCAAACTGTAGGACAGGCATAGTGGCACACGCCTGTAATCCCAGCACTTGGGAGATAGAGGCAGGAAGATCAGAAGTTTGAGATCATCTCCTAAGTGGATTGTTTTGGGACTCAGGATAAGTTCTTAGAGGGCAGGACTATGTTTCCCAACTCTCCAAGAGCCCCCCACAACCATTCTTGTGCTTTGCACACTGCCCTGAGCAGTATTTTTTAAAAATATTTATTATTTCAAAAATTCTATTTTTATTTTATGTGTATGAGTGTATTGCCTACATGTATGTAAGTGTTGTGCAATGCCAGCAGAGGTCAGAAGAGGACATCAGATTCCCCTGGAACTGGAATTATGGATGGTTGTTAGCTCCATGTAGGTGCTGGGAACTGAACTTGGGTCCTCTACAAGAGTAGTCAGTTCCCTTAACTGCTGAGCCATTTCTCCAACCCCCCTTGTAAGTGTATCAGAGAAGCTGGGAGATCAAGGACTTGCTCTGCCATTCCCAAATATGGCTAAACACTGGGATCACTTGCTAAGATAACACTAACTGAAAACATGGGTTCTCAAAATAAAATAACAATAGTCTACTGCCTAGCCAAAAAACAGGTTCAGAAATCAGCTTGTTGCTTTCTGCAAATATTTTTTTTAGCCTGTGAAGAAACAACATTTAAAAAAATGTGTATGAGTGTTTTTACCTGCGTGCATGTAAGGGCACCCATGTGTGCAATGCCTGTAGAGGCGTGAGAGGGCATTGGATTACCTGGAAGTGGAATTATGATAGATGTTTGCTACTGGGTGGATGCTGGGCACTAGACCTGGGTCCTCTGCAAAAGCAGCTAGTGTTCTTAATGGCTCAGCTGTCTCTCCAGCCCCAGAAAAACCATTTTTTAATCTTTTGGTAGGACTGATGCCTTTAAAGTCACCCTTTACTAAGCATCTACTTGAAACTCCTGAAGAAAATTTTTGATCAAGTAGCTCTTTACAGATCAGTTGTGCAATCTTTGGCCCTTTTAAATCTTCTGGGTGTAGAAAGTTCACTTTTCATTAGTGGATACCTCTAATGAACACAGAAAAGGAAAGAAAACCTTAAGGCTCACATTAAAATTTTATGTGTATGAGTGTTTTGCTTGCATGTAAGTAGACCCATGGCTTGCAATGCCTTTGGAGACCAGAAGAGGGCATCAAATCCCCCTGGAATTGGACTTCCATTCATTTGTCAGTCACCATATGGGTGCTGGGAACCAAACCTGGGACTTCTCAAGAACAGTTAGTGTTCTTAGCCATGGAGCCATCTCTAGCCCAAGGCTCACATCTTTGACAGGATCTTGGAACTGGAAAAGCTGAGCAATTGGATCTTAGGGCTCCCTGGGTCACTTTGCTTTAGCAAAGGGATTCTTTTAAAAAGAAACTTGATGCTGAAGATAGTTTATAAAAATTTTTGAGGCTAATAGTAGAGCGCCCAGGGACCATCCACTTGCCACCCCATCCTTAAGTCTCAGATATCCCTGTGGAATACCAGGGTTCCTCTGTACAGCTTAAAAAGTGGTCCAGGGGCTGGAGAGATGGCTCAGCAGTTAAGAGCACTGACTGCTCTTGCAGAGGACCTGGGTTCAATTCCCAGCACCCACATGGCAGCTACAAACCTTAACTCCAGTTCCAGGAGAATTCGAAGCCCTCTTCTGACCTCCATGGCATTGCACGACATGGGTGCACTCACATACATGCAGGCAGTACACTCATACACATAAAATATTTTTTAAAAAAGTGGTCCAATCCTTTCATTTTACAGGTGGGCAAGCAGGCCCAGAGGTTGTTTCATGACACCAAAAGCATCAGTCCTTCCAGTTCTTGGGGCCATGTGGGGTTCACAGTGGTTTCTAAGTAAAAGATCTGCATGAGAAAAACTCACCTATTATCTAGTGTTTAGCATAGTACCTTGCACATAGTGACTATGGAACATTCTGGAGGAAGCTGCAGAAATGGCTTTCAAGTCTACAGGCTAGTATTGTTTGGTTGTGTTATCAGAACTTTCCATTGCATGTTGACAGAAACCATTAGGCTACAAGGGGGGCTGTAGTGGGAGGATCCTGGGTAAGATGGCCAGTGGAGTCTTGGGAAAGACAGGAAGGGTGGGCTTCAGGAGCCTTGAGAGCTAGAGTCACAGCATTGCAAGCCTTAACTATTTGGGGGAAAACTCCAGCGATTGTTTCATTATTGTTCTGTGAAGACCAGATGATTCTGCTAATTTGTCTACTCAGCTGGAAACTAGTGTGTAGACAGTGTCAGAGTTTGGTAAGTCTTAGGTTTATTACCTGGAGAGAGTACCATACCTAAAAATTTCTAGAAAGATGTGTTGGATAGCTTTAGTTGTCAACTTGACACACCTGGGGAGCCTCAATTGGGGCATTGCCTCCACTGAACTGGTCTGTGGCCATGTCTGTGGGGGTATTTTTTTGATTGTTGAGTGATGTGGGAGGGCCCAGGCCACTGTGGGCAGTGCCACCTCTGGGCAGATTGTTCTGTATTGTACAAGAAATCAGGCTGAGCATAGGCCAGGAGAACAAGCCAGTAAGCAGCATTCCTGTTCCGTTCCATGGCCTGTGCTCTAGCTCCTGTCTCCAAGTTCCTGCCCTGAGTTCCTACCTTGGGCTTCCTGATGAACCGTGACCCAGGAGATGTAAGGCAAAATAAACCCTTTTCTCCCCAAGTTGGTATTGGTCAGAATGTTTTGTCACAGCAATTGAAAGCAAACTTGAACAAAAGGGCTCTGGTTGACTTAGCTCAATCAATCAACCATCAATCAATCAATCAATCAATCAATCAATCAAATCAGTCAATCAATCAATCAGGTTAGCGACCCATGGGATTAGATAACATGAGGTATTTCTGGGAGGGAGCAACCTCCCATCTGAGGCAGTCCAGAGAAAGTCTGAATTTAAGTTGGTCATTAAAAATGACTTTCTACTGAATGATCATCATTCAGATCAGATGAAGAGTATTACTCCCAGTTGTCTTAAGAAATTGCAAGTGAGGGGCTGGAGAGATGGCTCAGCAGTTAAGAGCACTGGCTGCTCTTGCAAAGGACTCAGATTTGGTTCCTAGAACCCACATAGTGACTAACAGTTCCAGGGGAATCTGACACTCCCTTCTGACTTCTGAGGGCATTGCCCAACACAGGTGCACTTATATATACGCAGGCCTATAAAATACTTTAAAATATTTTATTTATTATTTTTATTTTATGTGTATGTGTGTATTGCTTGCATGTAGGTAAGTGCACCCATGTCGTGCAATGCCCACAGAAGACAGAAGAGGCAGATAGTTGTTATCTGCCATGTGGTGCTGGGATTCGACTCTGGGTCTTCTGCAAGAATATTCAGTGTTCTTAACCATTGAGCTATCTCTCCAGCCCCATAGAATACTTTAAAAAGCCAGAAATGGCAAGTAAAAGAGAGGTAGAGACAGACAAAAATGGAGGGCTGGAAAGATGACTCCATTGTTAAGCATACTGCTCTTGCAGAGTACCTGGCACCAATATGGAGGCTCGCAACATTAACGCCAGTTCCTGGGGCTCAAATACCCTCTTATGGCCTCTGCAGGTACTACATGTGAATGGTGCAATTAACATACATGCAGTCAGAACATTCATACACACAAAATCAATCTTTAAAGACAAAAAACAGCTCAGGTGTAGTTGTTAGTGTTTGCCTAGCACGCACGAAGCCCAGGGCTCGACCTCCAGTACTTCATAAACTGGACATGGTGGTTGGATGCAGGAGAATCAGACGTTCATAAGGAATTTAAGGCCAGCCTCAGTTATGTGTCTCAAAGAAATACACAGAGGAAATGTGCTGTAAAAAAAAAAAAAAAAAAAAAAAAAAAAAAAAGCTGGAGATTGTGCTGGAAGGTGAAGACTCATTTATTGAAGTGGAAGTCTATTAAATAACCAAGTTCGAAAGCTGGGTGTGGTGGAGCACGCCTTTAATCCTTTAATCCCAGCACTGGGAGGCAGAGGCAGGCAGATCTCTGTAAGTTCGAGGCCAGCCTGGTCTCCATAGGGAATCCAGGTCAGCTGTGGCTACAGGGAGACCCTGTCTCAAAAAAAGACCAAAAAAAAAAAAAAAAAAAAAAAAAAAAAAAAAAAAAGACAAAACAAAACAACAAAAAAATATGTTCTTTCTTTGTTAGTGGGCATTCAGAAGTTTTATATATATTTTTATGTGTATGAATGTTTTGCCTGCATGTTGTAAGTGCACCCCTGCGTGCAGTGCCCACAGAGGCTAGAAGAGGGCATTCGATCTCCTGAAACTGGAGTCACAGATAGCTGTTAGCTACCATGTAGGTGCTGGGAACTGAACTGGGGTCCCCTGCAAGAACAAACAGTGCTTTTAACTGCTGAGCTATCTCTCCAGCCCAGTTTTATATTCTATTAAGACAAAGTAGAGTGGCACCATAAAAAGGGATAATATTTACAGCGTACTTGAGGACACGAATTACATGTGTTAACTCCTTTAATCCTGAGATGAACCCCTATTATGTAGGGGGTTCAGATTTTTTTTCCTTTTTAGACAGGGTCTCCTGTAGCCCCAGCTGATCTGGAATTTTCGGTGTAGACGCAGGCTGGCCTTGATCTCACAGAGATCTGCCCATCTCTGCCTCCCGAGTGCTGAAATTAAAGGCCTGAGCCACCACGCCTGGTTTACTCACTTGTTACATAAGACTAAAGGCATTTTTTTCTGAGGACAGTCTGTGCACACCATTAAACCCTCAAGACATGCCTCCACCAGCCCAGTGGACCATCACCAGCCCAGTGGACCAGGCGCACCTACTCAAGGTTTGTCACCAGGGGGCGCTCGAGAACCTCATATGCTCTTGGCCCTCAGTCCTCTGGGAGGCTCAGTACGTGCTGACTCCAGTTCGCGCGTGCGTATCTTGCTCCATTGGGCCCTTAGGGTTTCAGCTCCCCAGCGTGCGCATGTGCGGCGGGCAAAGGCTGGCTCCTTTGGAGCGATGGCAGCCAAGAGTTTCTCTTTCCGCCTCCGGCACTCGTGGCAATTTATGAATGGCTTCGTGGCCGGTGCTGTAGTGGGCGCCGTGGGAGCAGGGCTGACGGCGCTGAAGTTGAGTCGGGATGCGGGGCCAGCGCGGCCAGCGCCGGAGCAGGACGGTGAGTGCTGGCCGCCCTCCTTCCTGTCCTGGGCCCCCATCCCTCGGCCTCCATCACTTCAGGCTACCCCTTCCTCCCCCAGAGTCTTCACCACGGTCTGCGTGTTTACATGTCACCTCCCCTCTATCCTTAGCGCCATCCCGAGCTGAGACTATGTGTTTGTTCTCCACCATAGGTGCAGCACAGTACCTCGTACAGAATTGGCCTTCAGTAAGTGTCTTAGTTTCTTTTCCTGTGGCTGTGACAAAAATACCCCGAGGAAAGGGAGTCAAGGGAGGAACGGTTTAGTTTAGCTCACATTTCAGGGTGCAGCCCATCCTTACAGGGAAGGCAAGGTGGCAGGAGCTTGAACCAGCTGGTCATATCGCACCCACCATCCACCGAGATGATGCATGCTGCTGCTCAGCTCCTTTTTCAGTTTATACAGTTTATATAGTTTAGGATTCCCTGCCCCGGGAGTGGGCCCGCCCTCAGTTAAGCTGGGGCTTCCCACATCAATCAATACAGTGGAGATAATCCCCTACGGGCATGATCAGAGAGACCTGTCACCCAGGCAATTCTAAATTCCTTCAAGTTGACACTTCAACTAGCACAGTAAGTATGGCAGATTCGATTTCCTGAGCCTATCTGCTACCCAGTCTTCATTCAAAGTGTATAAGTCCTCAAGGTACCGGGGTACATTATGGTTAGAAAAAAAAAAAAAAGAGCATAGGCCCATCTCATTCCTAGACTTGCAGATTGACGCTCTTTTAATACTTGATCACTGAGCAAGAGAACTACGCTGGTGGTTGAAGTCTTGGGAAGGCATGGAGAGAGAGAGTTAACTTGCAGCTAATGAACTATTAAGTGTGTGCTTGGTTTTTTCTCCTAGGAAAAGCAGTACCAAGTTTACAGTCTTGCCATAGAGCACATGTCAGTCTCTCATTGTGCCAGAACATGGAGGAAGTGTCAGTGAGGGGTGTTTCGTCTGATTTTTGAGACAAGGTCTCACTGTATAACCCAGACTGGCATTGGACTTTCTGTTCTGCTACCATTTTTGAGTGCTGTTATTACAGATGTGTGATCCACTCCTGGAGTGAATGGTCTTTGGAAAAAGGAAAATTTTATGCTCACATGGCAGATGAGATACTGTGATCATGAAAAACTAGAAGTTTAAATTTAATTTTTATTATTACATAACCTATTTTATCCTATATTGTTATATACAAGTATATAAATATATGTATTTTTTTCTCCATGAGTAGGTAGACTCTTTCGCATTTAATCAGTGATTAATAGCTTGTAATCACATGAAGATTTTTCTTTGAGGTTTCCTTTAGTATTCAGTTTACAGTGAAGATTTGGAAAATTGATGTGAAAATAAGATCAGGTCCTTATTTATTTTGGGGACCAGGGATTGAACTTAGGCCTCTAGTACATGCACAGGCTCTACTGCTGAGCTGTGCTCCTTCCACCCTACACACCTCCAGCCAGGTCTTTATTGAAAAGATAAAGCTGAGTGTGGTAGCACATACCTGTAAACTCAGCACTTGGTAGGCTGCGACAGGAGGATCAAAAGTTCAAGGCCTGCCTGGGCTACAGAGTGAGTTCACACCTGGCCTGGGTAGCATAGTGAGACTCTATTTCAAAAGAAAAGGTAAAAAGAAGGCTACGAATGTAGCTCTGTAGAATTCTTGCTTAGCCTGGGTGAAACCTTGAGTGCATTCCCCAGTATGGAAAACAAAGAAACAAATCCTGTAGCTGCGGGTTTATTATAACTATACAACAGATTGTAGGCAGAATGAGTACTTTGCTAAATTGTCTTTTTTCTTTTACTTAATAAATAATTGCAAACATGAGGTCTGGTTGATTGGATATTTTCTTCCCCAGTACTGGGAATGAAACTCCTCGGTTAGACTTTTGAGCCAGTTATTTGTAAATATCAATGCCGTCTTTATAATCTTTTATTCTTTGTGAAAGTAACTAATTACTTGGTTTTCTGTTCAAATGTCCCCCCCCCCTTTTTTTTTTCTATTTTAGAATCTGCAGAAAAAGCTGTTTTGGAACAATTTGGATTCCCTTTAACTGGAACAGAGACTAGATGTTACACTAATCATGCCTTGTCTTATGATCAGGCAAAACGTGTGCCCAGATGGGTTCTGGAGCATATATCCAAAGACAAGATCATAGGTAGGTGGCTAGAAAAAAAGTTGAACTAAAATTATTGATGAACAGTATTTCCAAATTGAGAATAAAGAGGCTTTTTGATAATGTAAACCTTTGTGTGGGGTCTCTCCCTCCCCTCATGGGTCATTGGCCACCGGTCCATGAGGACAAAGGGAGCAGAAGTGATGAACAGGGTCAGGACAGCCAGTGAGCACTGACAGAAGAAAGCCCTTCCAGGGAGGCAGGTTCAGTGATACAAACAGCTCCAGACTCAGTGAAACAGCTCTAGACTCAGTGAAACAGCTCCAGACTCAGTGAAACAGCTCCGTTTATTCAGTGGGAGAACTAGGGAAAATATAGTGTGGAGGCCGTAGCCCATGCCTCAGCTGATAGGTGCTCATAGTATGCTTTATTTACATGTGGCAGTGGGATCCTATCATCCAGCTATAGGGCAATGCCTAATTGTCATATAGAAAAAACCTGGGGGTTTTATTGCAGGTAACTATGCCAAAGGTCATGTTCCAAATAAGGTCAGGCATCCATGCTTGGAGGCACTTTCCAGGTAAGTCAGGCAGGAAGCCCCTGCTGAGAAAGGAGCTGACCTTAACAGCAGGGTTCCCCAACAACCTTTGTACCTCATAACACCTATTGAAAATGCATTTGTGTGACTCTGGTAGAGTGGACCATCCTTAGTATCCAGGGAGCCCTAAGACCCTTCCCAGCTGTTTCAGGAGATGAGAAAAATTTATCTTTCAACACTTGAGTTTGGAAGTTCTGTCATAAATATTGATGTAGTGAGCATTATTGTTGACCTCAACAGATATTTATTTTTTAAGTACCTGCTATGTGTGATACTGTAAAAGCCTTGGAGAGATAGCAGTAGCCAGGGTAGCTGGTTTATATTGTCATGATGTTTTAAATTGGGGAAGCAGTTGAACTGCCAAATAATCTTATGAGTGTATAATTAAAATTGGTAGTAAGTTTTCTGAAGGATGCGATTATGGGTTAGGATAGTATAATTAAGGGGCAGTGAAGAGTATGGTAGATATTGTAGCAGGAGAGCATGATTTTGCTTAGTGCAGCTTCTCTGACAGAGTGGGCCGAAGAGTGGCTGGAAATCACTGGTTGGGTGGACCTCGGAACTTGGAGGAAAACCCTCTTGCCAGAAAGAAGTACAGTTGTATCTTCGAAGGCCCTAGTGTGAAGACTGTGCCTTTAAGGATTCAAAGAAGGCTAGAAGGCAGGGCGTGGTAGCATATGCCTTTAATCCCAGCACTCAGAAGGCAGAAGTAGATGGATCTCTGTGAGTTCCAGGCCACCCTGGTCTACATGGTGAGTGCCAGGCTAGCCACGACTATATGTAAGACCCTGTCCTGTTCCCCCCAAAAAGGCCAGAAGGAAGGTTGTGATGTGAAGTGAGGCAAGAGGGTGAGGCGAGGCAGTCATAGAATAGAAATCCCTTCACGTATCCTTATTGTTTGGAAGATTCCTTTCATGAACATTGCCAGATCTTGATAGTGAATGTCAAGTTGATTTCTGGGTAGATTCTTTCAATTTATATTCCCACCACCACTGATTGTCCTGTCTCCCATCCTTTATCTGTGATGAGCATTTTTTTTTCTAGTCTGATGACTGGTTTTACTGTATTATCAGTGAGAAGTGATGTTTTGTGAATTATTCTTTATCAGTAAGTCGGGATAGTCTTTTTAAGATTGTACAATAACTCTACTATGTTAAGGATATTACTTTTTTTTTTTTCTGAAACAATTTTCTGTTTATTAAATCAAATGTTTCCAAGAAAAGCTTTCAGGTAATAGGAAAAGTAAATCACAGCAAAAGCTTAACATGTGTAGGAATCCTTATGCGGACGTATACATCACTTATTTTCATATACTGTATGCACACTGGAAATAAACACTCTCATTTATTATTATCAATATAAGAGATGAAATACTTAAACCATAAATATTTAAACAGGCCACATGGTAATGATCCATTCTTCATGCCCTAGGCAGAAGACATTCAACAGTAGACTATGTTCAACTGAATGACAATGGAAATTTTAGCTGAAATGATACTTTCACAAACACATGTCACACAGCTAATAGTTTTCTTGCTCTCCTCATTTCAGTAAATTCTACCAGGTTATATTATTCTGGGGCACGATCTTTTTAAATCTACAGAGTACATTTCCTTTGTCATGCCATGTTCATTTCAGGCCCATAAATGAACAAGATTAAACAGCAGACT